GCCATTTTGAGAGCCATCGATCAGCTGTTCTCAGAACATCATTAAACGAAAAATCGGTTCCCGAAGCAGGAAATCGATCATCGTTAAGCGAATTTTACCCATGAAAACATTGTTTTGCGATAGCAAAAACCTCATTGTCAAGCGGATTCACCGTTTAACAAGGTAATCGTTAAATGAGGCACCACTATATTTGACTCAGTTATACTATGAGCAAGAAGGATCTTGGAATTGTAGGCTGCAACTTGAATATAAGCCAACAGTGCAATGTGACTGCAAAAGAGGCAAATGCTATTTTAAGACACATTAATAGAAATATTCTCCAAATCCCATGCAGTACTAGTTCCCCCGTGTTTGGCACTGGTTAAGCCTCATCTTGAGTACACTTTAAAAAGGATGCTTTAAGAAGGGCAAACTGGAACAAGTTCAAAGGAAGGCAACAAAGAGAATCAGAGGACTGGAAACCAAGCCCTTAGAGAAAATACGGAAAGAACTGGGCTTGTTTAGCCTTGAGAAAAGAAGACTGAGGAGAAATGTGATCACACTTTTCAAATACAGTGGTGCCCCACATGACGACCCCGCAGAACAACAAAATTGCATGACGATGACTTTTTTGCGATTGTTATAGCGATCGCAAAATGATGTTTCCTATGGGGGATTTTTGTTTGACAAGGATTAGGTCCTTGCTTCACAAACTGTTTGTTCGCAAAGCTACGATTTTTCCGGCTCCGCAAAATTGCTGCCCTGTGTTTTCCGGAGCCATGCTTCACAGGGCAGCCATTTTAACAGCTGATCGACGCTCGGTAAATGGCTTCCCCTATGGGCGATCTTCGCTGGACGATGAGGTAATTTCCACATTGGAACACATTAAATGGGTTTCAATGCATTCCAATGGGGAATTGTTTTTCGCATGACGACAATTGCGCTTAACAGCGATTTTCCTGGAACGAATTATCGCCATCATGCGGGGCACCACTGTACATGAAAAGTTGTCCTACAGAGGAAGGGCAAGATCTGTTCTCGGTACTCCTAGAGTACAGGACACATCATAATCAGCTCATGTTACAAGAAGCCAGATTTTGTTTGAATATCAGGAACTTAACTGTTTAAGCAGTACAAGACAAGAACCAATTACCTCAGCAAGTGGTGAGCGCTCCAGTGCTGGAGTTAACAAAAAAAGTCAATCATCCGTCAGATATACAGTGGTGCCCCGCATAACGAGCGATTCGTTTAACGACGAATCTGCATAGCAATGTGTTTTGTGCGATTGCAAGTGTTTCGCTTACCGATTTTTGCATTGCGATGTTTTTTCTAACAGCTGATCGGTGGTTCCAAAATGGCTGCTGGGTTAAAAAAAATGGCCACCCGCTGTGTTTTCGCGCCCTTTCCTTGCTTACCGGGCAGCGAAAATGGCAGCCGCATGGAGGATCTTCGCATAATGGTGAGTTTTTTGCCCATAGGAATGCATTAAACGTGTTTTAATGCATTCCTATGGGCTTTTTTGCCCCGCATAGCGACAAATCCGTATAGCAATGATTTTTTTGGAACAGATTATCGTCGCTATGCGGGGCACCACTGTACTTTGATTTGGATGTCTGGATTGTGCCGCCAGTTGGACTTGATGGCCTGATAGGCCCTTTCCAACTCCATTATTCTATGATTCTGTAATAATTATATTCATCTACAGTATGCTCAACTGAATGCAAAATTCAGCCTAAGTCCCACAAGCCAAGTTACTACAGATCTCACAAAAAAATTCAGAGGTGACTTGACTTTGAAGATTATCAAATGGAGCAGTAGAGAAAGCTATCAGACAGGAGAGAACATGAGTAGCTCTAGCAGGGTGACAAATGATTTATAGAACAAATGAACAAGAAGACATCCAAGATTTGTCACCATGTAAATTACAGTAGACTAGCCACCTGAAAAATTAAGAACAAATTAAAAATACACCGCATATGGGAAGTAGAGGCCGGAATATGTTTGTAACTGTATATTAACTAATATGAACTACAAAGGTGAGATCTTGTCGACATAAAGTTGATCATCTTTTGAGAGGAAAAATGCAGCACAGCAGACTGAGGACATTTCAGGCTTGGGAGACCATCATACTTATATCCACTCAGCCATGATGGCTTCTGGACTGCCTTAGGCCAGTAACTGTCCCCCATTCTGACCCATTTCACGAGGGTGCTGTGAGAGTAAAATGGAAGAGTCACATACAAGGTCATTGCTGGGATATATAATGAATGAATAAAGGAATGCGGTCTTTGATATGAAGAAAATATTGCAAACTTCACTCATGCTAAAGCAGCCCTGCTGAAAAGATATCAAGCCTGTTTTATGGAGCAGGAGACGACACCTTCTGCCATTTCTTGTCTTCCCCCAAAAGTATCCTCCTTAAGATCAGAAACAAGCATGAAGAGCAGGCCACTCCCTTAACTACTTAGTGAGTCCATCTACGCCAGGTTTCTCAGGTTGGCTTTCTTTTCTCTTATTTTTAATGACAATTGTTTGCTACTTAGGCATCCATTTTTTTCAATCCTATAAGCCAGTGGTCCCCAACCTTGGGCCTCCAGATGTTCTTGGACTTCAAATCCCAGAAATCCTGGCCAGCATGAAATGGTGGTGAAAGCTTCTGGGAGTTGTAGTCCAAAAACATTTGGAGGCCCAAGGTTGGGGACCACTGCTATAAGCCATCTTTTGTCTCTACAGATCGGGAGAGCAAAAATAATAATAATAATAATAAATTAAATTTAGTCCAGTACACTGTTTCTGACAACCACCAAGAAAATGCTTCTAGGAAAGCCTAAAAGCAGCACGGCTGCCTCCCCCCTGCCCACCAAATGCACCCAAAGGTACAAAAGCTACTTCTTTTTTTTTAACTCCTAGATTTTCCTTAGCAACTATTTATACGCTGAAAGCTTCTGACAGTAAAGGCCTGTCTCCTCACCCTTTTTAAATGGCCATGCACACAGAACAAGAATAATAAAAGCAGCAGCAGCTGCAGCCAGGCCACCACCCTTTTTTTGGAGGATAGCTCCCAGCCATGCATCCTGGGAGCTGCGGTTCCAGAAAGCAATCAGTCCAAGATCAGGGATATAATGGTCCCAAAGAATATAAATTAATGCCTCTAAGTCCTCCACGTATCAGAGAGTTTATCTGATTTTTATTTATATGTGCTTTTATAGCACCTCAGTTCTATCCCACCCCTACGGCTGCTGTAGATGGGTCACATCTCAGTAAAGGTCCAGAGCAACTGTTCTGTACACTCCTCCTTCTCACATAGTCCTACCTACTGGTGTGTGTGTGTGTGTGTGCACAACATCATTTTTTACTTAGGGTGCATTGATTATTTCCAAAATAACCTGCTGTTAAAAGCCCCGTTTGGAATTAAACATTACAGATTGTGGCTTCCTTTCTTAGTCAATCCAGCTCACCTTAGATCCTCTTTCTTTTTCCATTGCCTTCCACTTCTATCATTATTGGCCTTTCCAGACAATCTTGTCTTTTTATGATATGCCCAAGGTATAAGAGTGTCTGCTTTAATTATTGTAATCTTTCAGTGAGAGCTTGGACGAGGGGCAGTCTAGATCAGCTATTCTCAACCGGGCCATATGACCGCTTACAGCCCCCTCGGACCATGTGAAGGGGGGGGGCACAGAATGGAAACCATTCTTCACATATCACCTTACAAGGTTTGTTAGGCAACCCATACAATCTTGATTCCTCCTCTAATTCTTTCATACTGTCTTTATGGCCCTAAACCAAAATAAAAAAAGTTGAGAATGGCTACCCTACTTGTTTAGTTTTGGGCATTGGACAAAACCCAGAGCCACTGCACCCTCAGCTGGAGGTTCTACTGAGCACATATAAAAACCTAAGAAGAGCCCTGCCTGATCAGCTTTCTATATCTCACAGTGGTACCACCAGATGTCTCTTGATACCCCACGAGATCCCTTGTCTCCTGATCCCCCTCCCCTGCCTCTGTCGTTTTGGAGGCCCCTTCCTTCTAAGCCTGGAGATTATACTTCATCCCCATCATGGCTTCTCACCTTCAATGGGACTCTTCCTGCCGGAATCTGTCCAGTGCCCTTTGAAAGGCATCTAGGCCAGATGCCATCCCCACATCCTGTGGCAAGGGGTTCCACAGACGAACCACATGCTGGGTCAAGAAATATCGAATAAATATTTTCTTTTTTTCTGTTCTCAGTTTCCCAACCCTCCATTGGAGTGGATAACCACTGGTTTTGGTCTTGCATGAGAAAGAAAAGAGCTTTCCTCTCTCCACTTTCTATCCTTCCCCTGCATCATTTTATGCGTCTCAGTCATATGTTCCCCCCCCCAGGCGCCTTTTCTCTAGACTCAAAAGCCCCAAACGCTGTTGCCTTTCCTCATCGGGGAGGTGCCCCAGCCCCAGTCCTCCTTCGAGTCGCTCTCTTCTGCACCTTTTCCAGTTTCATCATGTTTTCTCTGAGGTGCTGCCCCCCAAAAGGTACGCAATACTCCAAGTGTGGCCTGACCATCGTCTTGTACAATGGCATGATAATGTTGGCTGTTTTATTTTCCATCCTCTTTTAAAATGATCCTTAGTATGGAATTGGGCTTGGGCTACGGGTCCCAGGTGTTTTTTGTTTTTTAAGTTCAGGACACTCTACCCAACCCAGAGAGACTGCACCTGAGGCGGGAGGCTCTACTGAGTCACATGATACAATTATTAGTAACCTTCCGGTGAGAGCTCGGGCTAGGGATACCAGGTGATTTCTACCCAGAGTGACTGCGCCTGCAGCGGGAGGTTCTACCCCGTCAGCCCATCACCCTGACCCCGGCTCTCATGCTGGGGGCCCTCCCCAAGCTAGCCCTTCTTCTTTTCTGACCCCCCCCTCACAACATACACACACCCCACCCCGGCGTCTTCCTAGGGTCCAGCCCGCAACGCACACCCACATACGAACCCCGCCGTGGTTCGGCCCAAGTCCCAACCCCTCCTCGCGCAGCCTCACCCAACGACATGTCGATTTTCTCCAGGGTGTCGCTGCCGGCGGTGCTGGTGCTCCGGGCCGCGGCGCCGAAGCCGTTCATGGCCGCCGAATCCCTTTCCGGCCGCCGCCGCCGCCTCCCCTCACGAAGACAAGAGAGAACCAGCCCCGCTCGGCGGGCAGCTCGTCTCGCCTTTTGGCTTCTGCGCCTGCGCGGAGGGCGCACGGCGCCTGCGCTCCTCCCCTCGTGCCGGAGGAAGGGGGCGGGGGGAAAAATAAAACAATCCCCGCTGCCCCTTCCCACCCTCCTTCGGCGCGTGCGTGGATGGAGATGGGGGGGGGGAAACGGCAAAGATCGGTTGGGCTACTGCGCGTGCTCCCTCGTGGAGGCTGAACCTATCGCGCCCTCTGTCGGCGAGGAGGAGCCGCTCCACTTCGCTCGAAATGGAGGGGAGGGAAGGAAGGAAGAGGAGGGCTCTTCCAGAGTGGGAAGGAATGAAAACTAAGGCTAAAATACAGTACATTCTGCCAAAAAGATCTTCCTGGGCACTGAGCACAATCCCTGGCCCTGTTAATTTTTTAATTAACAGAATTTGGTCATCCTCCATAGATCAAACCCCATATTATTTTTGTTTGGGAAGGAACCTTCGTTAAAGTATTTTAAGAGTGTTTGGATGTACCGCTTGGGTACATGTGCCAAAGCAGCTCAGAAGAAAAGGTAAAGCGAAAACAAAGAAAATGAGGTTCCTGGGTTATGAGCCTAACTTAAAAGCGTACAGATTTCTAGATGGTGACAGAAACGTTGTAATTTCCAGGTCTGCCAGTTTCAATGAGGGAGAGAACTGAGACAAGGTACACGCAAATTCACAAATATACATCCCACTGAGTGAAAGAAGAAGGAGTCAGTTTAGACAGAGAGAAACACGTGAGCAAGACACAAAGTCCTCTGCTGATGAAGATGAAGAAGATGATGAAGGACACGAAGAACACGAAGAAAAACACATTAGCGAGATTAGTGAGTCAGAGACACAGACAGAAACACAAGGTCCTAGGAGGTCCCAACGGACAAACAAGGGTGTGCCACCCGAAAGATTTGGAGTGGGTGGTGTGAGAGTATGTCATGTTTATGTAGAACCCAGAAATTATAAAGAGGTTTTAGAACTTCCTGGGTTTGAAAAGAAAAAATGGTTAGAGGAAATGAAATCCATGGAGGAGCATAAGGTGTTCACAGAAGCAAAGCTGCATACAGAACACAGAGGTCACGGGTAACAAATGTGTGTTAAATGAAAGCTAAGAATATATGGTTTTTGAATGAAACAAGTGATGTAATAAAAGGTAATGCAAGATGACAGTGCATGGCTAAAACAGAAAGAGTCATGCACAGAAGCATGAGAAATGTGTAAATGTGTTGGGATTATGTTGTGTTCAGGCATAAAAAAATTAGGAGGGGTGTCAGGGTATAGAATTTTATAGGCCTGAACCCATATATGTTTCATTAACGAGCTGCCATTATGTGCAGATGAGAGAAAGATGAATCATCCTAAGCTGATGCAATGACATGAAATCAGAAGACCAGGTGCAGAGATGAAGTCACCTGGAACCTGATTGGACTGGACAGAGCCAGGAATATGTATAAATGTGGACTGTGTTTGTGTCTTCTCTCTCTTCCTCTGTTGTGATTTTCTGCCAGTCATGCTGTCGAACTGTACAAAGACTTCTAGACGTGCTGTAAAGAGACCTGCCTGTACATAAATGTACATATATGTAAATATAACCGTCTTGCAACACAGAAGAACTGGTAAAGTGTCTTCAATTACTCTGCGCCAGCCAAAAACGTAACAGATTATAAAGTGTTACTTCATAAGCAACTTGAAAATAATACAATAACAACTAGAAGCCAACACAGATATGTGAAGAACATATCTTGCCTGAGTAATCCTATCTTATTTTCTGATTGGGTAATATCTCAGGCAGAGGGTGGGTATGCTGTAGATGTAATATATCTTGACTCCAGCAAATCCTTTGACAAAGTGTGCATGCTATACTCATTAGCAAGCTAAGTATGAGTTGGATAGAACAACTATCAGGCAGATACATTGTTGGTTATAGATCTGTATTCAAAGTCTGCTTATGAAGGGCTCCATCTGAAATTGAGAGGAAGTTATAAGTGAAGAACCACAAGGCTTAGCCCTGTGCTCTTGAACATTGCTTTGAATGACTTGGATGAAGAGGCGAAGGGAATGCACATCAAATTTGCAGATGACACAAAACTGGGAGGAATAGCAAATATCCTGAAAGACCAAGATTTTGATAGCCTCAAGCACTGAGCTAAAGACCACAAAATGAAATATAACTGGGATAAGTGCAAAGTTCTACACCTAGGAAAAATAAACGAAATGCACAGTTACAAAATGAGAGACACTTGCCTCAATACTAGATCCAAGAAGGAAATTGAAATTGTACATCGCAAGATGAATATGAACCTATAATATGATGCTGCTACAAAAAAAACACAAATGTGATTTTAGGCTGCATTAAAAGAAGTACACTCTCCAAATCCCATGAGGTACTAGCCTCCCTCTATTCAGACTGGTTAGGCATACCCTGGCCAGTTTTAGACACCACACTTTAAGAAAGATGCAGACAAACTGGAACAAGTTCAGAGAAGGGCAGCAAGGATAATCAGGGGATTGTAAACCAAGCCCTGTGAGGAAAGACTGAAATAATTGGGCATGATTAGCCTTAGGAAAAGATGACTGAGGAGAGATATAATAGCACTCTTCAAATATTTGAAAGGTTGTCATACAAAGGAAGGACAGTATCTGTTCTCAGTCATGCCAGTATGCAGGACACAGAATAATGGATTTAAGTTATTGGAAGCAAATTTTTGGTTGAATATCAGGAAAAAGACTTCCTAACTGGATAGCTATATGACAGTGGGACTAATTACCTCACTGGCAGCATTCAAAAGAAAGGTAGGCAACCCTCAATACTTTGACTTGGATTCTTACATTATTCTGTGATTCTATGGCATGGATTGAATGACAGGAAAATCCTTGTAAAAATGTGAATCTTAGGGACAATACACACCCTAATGCATACATTAACATGTACATTAGAAAATACATGTGAAAATTAATTCAAATTAAATGGCATAGGACCAGGTTGGAATGAACTGACAAGGAATCAGATCTAACAGGCATGACTGTGCTTTCAGGTTGTCTCTGTGCATAAAACAAACCTTGAAAGATTTGTACATTAGAGACAGAGTCTTCTATCATAATCATGCTTCCTCAAAGACAAGCTTTACCCGCCTTATGTTTCTTATGTGAAACAGATTGTCACAATGGTAGAATGATACTGTGAATCACTAGCTGGCTCTGAGCTAGCAATACTAGGTCAAACCATCTCACTTCCTTAGGGTCAGAACTGGTGATCCAGAGGTAGATGTTTGTGATGTCACATAGCTGTGGCAAACAAGAGTTGGGAGCAAGGCAGATGCTTATGGAAAATTAGTATGACAATGATCTGGTAAGTAAAATCTAATATTCAGATAAAATATGAGTAACTAAGTGGTATGATGATCAAAATGGTGTGCGGGTAAACTATGTTGGTTTGTAATCAGAGGAGTGGGAGAATTTGCTCAACAGCTGCAGACGTTTCCAACATTTTTGCTAGGCTTTGAAATATGGAGAGTTTTCTTGAGCTCCGTGCTACTGCTAGGGTATTTGGAAGGTTCAACCTCCCCAAGATCGTGTTTGTTTTACTGCCCAAGACTGTACCACTGCTTGTTGTAGCTCATGCAACAATGAGTCACAACAATGGTGCCCAATTCCTTAATTTGCACCAAATGGCACAATGGATCCAAGTGCCTGGATCCACAACTCTCTACCAGGATCCCTCCTGTGTCCCTGCACACATGGAAATGACTTCACACTGAACACTGATGCCAGTTTGGAATGAGTGGCAATGAGTGACCAGGACCTAAAGCAGGAATAGAAAAATTGTGGCCCAGGGCCATGTACAATCTATCTCAGTTTGCTTTATGGGGGTCAGCTTGATCAGACTGCCACCTCCCTAAAGATGATTGGATATTTCTGAAACCCATTAGATGTGGACTGGAATACTACCCTTCCCACATTTGGCACCTTCAGGAGACAGCCCAAGGAGCATGTCTGTAATACAGTGGGAGTGTCCTTAGCAAACCTGTGCATCCAATTCAATTTAATTTGGCTAAACGGTTTAGCAGAATTTATTTATTTCATTTATTGCATTTATATGCCGCCCATCTAGACATAGGTCTACTCTGGGTGGCTCACAACATATACTATGTTGGTTTCCCAGATGCAAGGGGAATAGACACATATAGCCACCCAAGTTTCCAGTGCCATTGATTATATTTTGCTATCACTTCCTCTACAAACATGTGTGACACATTTTGGGGTGGGTGATTTCACCATCCTTTGTTTGCAGAGATGGCCTTAGGAGTCAGTATGAGGGCTGTCTCTCTGACTCCATGGAACGAGTCAGCAATTGGGGTCAAAATTAAGTGGAGAAAGAAATGAACTCCTCCTTCATCTGATTCTAGTCCGGCTTTTCATATAACATATTCTGCCAAAGGCAGCACCATTATAGACTATATTCGCGAAAGCTTTCACGACTGGGATCTAATGGTTGTTGTGGGTTTTTCAGGCTCTTTGGCCCTGTTCTGAAGGCTGTTCTTCCTGACGTTTCGCCAGTCTCTGTGGCCGGTATCAGTTTGCTGTCCTCTGAAGTTGCCGACCACAGAGCCTGGAAAACCCAGAACAACCACCATTATAGACTGTTTTACATTAATCCAGCAAGATGTAATAAAGGCATTTGTGACCTTGGCCAGATCAGACATCTTGGGGAATGGGCATAGCCGGCATTCTACTATGAAAATACACTGACAACTGCTAATGAAACCAAGGCATATTGGCATAGGACTGAGTTAAGTGTACAGAAGCTGTGAAATTAAGGATTTAGAGGAACTGCAACACCATAGCATAATTATTAAGGCCTAAAGAGTGATGGAAAGAGGGCCAATAGAGCACAGTGGATAGCGTCAGACTAGAATGTAGGCAACCTGAGTTCAAAGCCCCACTCAGGCATGAACACTCACAGCAGGGGGAGGTAGCAATGGTAAAGCAGTCCTTGAACATGTCACATACCTTGAAACCCCTATTAAGAAGTGAATTGATGACATG